ATATGTAAAGACTTTAATTGGATGTCAACATACTTTATATATAAACAGAGATGTGAAAATTGTGGTATATATGTGTATTAAGAATTGTAATGCAATAAAAAACAAAGTACATGTATAAAGGCATACATTTGTGTGAACATACTTTATATACAGAGATATAAAAATTATGCTCTATATGCATAATAAAAATTGTAATGTATTCCACTGCTGTCGTGTATTTAAAAAATAAAATCAATAAAAGATAAAAAAGTAATCTTAAAAAAGTTCATCAGACATGTTATGAAGTTATAATAATTAAGGAGGTGTGCATGGCAACAAGCAAAGAAAATAATAGAATGGACCAGAACAGAGCATGGAGCAAGAGTCAGAAATATTGGCACCCTGTGTAAATCAAAGGTTACACAGCAGTTGGGAAAAGGCTCTTCAGTAATGATTCTGAGTCAATTGGATGTCCAAACAATAAAGTAAAACTTTTTTCACACAACACACTATATAGCAACCCCAGAAAGATTATGCAATTATATGTAAAAGAAATGTAACTAAACATGCATAAAATACTCTTGGGGAATATTGCTATTATCTTAATAGTAGCAAATTTCTACTTAAAAGGACATTAGAACATTAACTATACAGGAAATATTGATATGAATTTGATGAGAATAGGAATCTGACTCCAGAAAGAACTCTACATTAAGAAAGGGAATATGAAAAGACAATAATTAAAAACCATGCATGAATATATCCATAATTGCACCAAAATATGTTGACATGGTGATTTGTAGGACCATTATTTTGGTACTCAAAAAGTGCAAACAACACAAATATCCATATCATTTGAATAGATCAATATATGATCCTGTGTTATTTGGCAGAAAACTCTACAGCAATAAAAATAAATGAGGCTTTGCTAAAATTAAAAACATGGGTGAATTCTAAATATTGAGTCAAGGTAGATACAAAAGGAGAACATGGTGCATGATTTTACATAAATCTCAAAACCTGAAAAAATATTCTTTTCCAGCAGAAGTTTGAGTGGTCTCCTTTGGAGGGGAGAAGGGCACAGTGACTTGAGGGATGTGCAGGCGACTCCTGGGAGCTGCTAATGCTCTATGATAGTCCAGGTTGAGAAAATGGACAGAGCTACCATTCACTGTTTTACAGTGTTCTCTATAAATTGCAGTAAATAATAATGCCAACTAAAAACTATTCCTCTTAATACTCCTTGCCAGAGCCAGAAAAATGAATTATCATTGAGAAGAATCATATTTTATCACAAATGTCTTGCGTTTGAAGCCAGCTCTTCATACTGATTGCTCTTAGAGACATGTCATGCCAGTCAGCCCTGACCTCTCTTACCTGAGCAGACCACAGAGGCTGTGTTTCCATGAGAACAGGCAGGAACACCCAGGGCAGTCACAGGACAATTCCACAGGAAGGACTCAGACCCTGAGCAGTGGAATTGGTCTCTCCAGATCTCATCTCCTCCTTCCATGAAGTATGCTCCCTTTAGGGTGGAGATGGCGACTCCACAGCCCAGCCGATGGCAAACAACATTGGCATTGGCCATACTCCAGTGGGAGGCACAGAGAGTTCTCCAGCCTCCAGAGGTCTTCATCTCCACTTGACTTTCACACTGAGAGCTGCCATTTTTCATGAGCCGAACATCTGTATATCCTGGTAGAAGACAGGGTTTTGGCAACATCACACACTTTTATTATCCCCACAAAGTGTGCAGAGAGGTTAAAGTCCTGCTGTCTCACTTGAGCAGACAACTTGCACAGCCTCTCTGTGGGGACAACTTCCTCCAGGACAGGGTACTCTGGGACAGAACCAGAGCCCAGGCTCCTTCCCCTCACACTGGAACTCTTCAGCCCAGACCTGTTCACTGTCTTCTCTGAAGGGCAGGTTCCCCAGTACAGATGCAGCCTTGCCACACCCCAGCTCTGCACAGATGACCTGGGCTGTGGGTAGTGTGAAATTCCCATCAGATACTGGAATCCACTCTCCTCCAGAATTCACTTCCACTCGCCCAGAGCAAGGTCTGTGTCCTCCATCCAGATGCACAAATCCTATGGGAGAAAGAAACAGTCAACAAGAAATATTAGGGAATAGAAGTAGGAAGCTACAGTTCACAGGTAATGCTGTGAAATCTTTTAATTTTTCAGTCTTGGGGTATGTGGAGTGGATTTAACAGATGGTGCCAGAATGTGAATTTTTTGAGCAAGTGTCTGAAGACAAACTTAGGAGTAGCAATGTTTAAAGTCTGTTCTAGATTGCTGATTCAAGAAATGAATGTACATTGATGTGGCTGTGTCCCTGTAGTATTGTGTTTTTAAGTCCTTTGGGTATATACTGAGGAGAGGGATAGCTGGGTCAAATGGTGGTTCCATTCAAA